CCTGCTGCTCCCCCCAGCACTATACTTCGTCAGTCAGCCTGTTCTGCTTCCCACTGTTTCTGGTGAATCCTCTCACTGCCCCTGCACCTCTGGCCTGTACCCCAGTTCTGTATGCATAAATAAATCTTTAAAAAAATGCTTGATTAAAATCTTAAAGCCAACATCTTAATTACTGGGGAAAACAGACATTTCTACACTGACTGAGAACAAGGGAAGGATGCTCACTACCTCTGAAACTACTCAATGCTATATAGTCAGTTCTGTTAGTGTATTTAGATAGAGGTATAAGCATTGGTAAAGTAGAATTGTATTTTTAGATATGACATGATGAAACTTGAGAAATCCTAGCTAATATACAATAAAATTAATTCAAAACCGTGAAATTAAGTTAGCAGAATACAAAACCAACATATAGACATTGAGTCTTCACAAACAATAACCCGTCAAAATGGTGGTCTTGGGGGCCTCCCTGTTGGCCTATGGGTTAAGTCTCAGCCCTATCACCAGCATGACGTGAGTTCAATCCCCAACCAGGGAGCTGACCCATATATGGCCAAGCAGTCCTCTCCTGTCACGCCCACTGTTCCACTTAGCAGTGTATTTCAGTAAATCTGCTTATTGTGACTCCTATTCTGTCTCTGGTAAATCCTCTTTATTTTTGCGTACTTCTGGCCTACCCCAGTTCTTCTATGCAAAAATTTAAAAGATTTTTAAAAAGTAATAAAAATGGGGGGAAGAAGACTAAACACACATTTACAATGGCACCAAAGATGAATACTTGTTTGGGAATAAACAAAAAAGTTGTCAAATTTAAAAGTTTTAGAAACTCCTGAAAGACATCAATGAGAATTTCAGTAAGACAAATAAATCTATTTTCTTGGCTAGAACTTACATCTTAAAGACGACAGATCTCTCCAAGTTAGTAGAAACATTTGATACAATCCCAATAAACATTATCAACAAAGCTTTTTATGAAGCTAGACACTGGTATTCAAAACTTCAGATAGAAAAATATGAAAAAAAAACTGCAAGAGAGAAACTACAAAGGTAGAATAATCCAATCATACATTAAAACATACTATAAAGCCTTTATAATTAAACTATTATGGCAGTGCAAATGAAAAGATGAGTGTCTTTATGAGTCAATGGAACAAAGAAAGCTTCTTAATAAAAGACAACTGATTAGCTATTCAGCAAAAAGTAAAAGCAAAATCCATCCCTCACAATGAAAGAACACACTCTAAATGCAAAAAGAAAAGGAAAGTATACAAGAAAAAGTAAATTCCTCTTTAACATCAGTTCAGAAGAGTATGACAGAGGCAATTAAAGACTTAAATTTGAGTACAGAATAAAACAACTGTTAAAAATAAACAAGTGAAACAACTGACAAATTAGGACAGATTTGCAGTATGTATCAAAGTTAAAACGCTAAAAATTCCCACCATATAAGGAGTTTTAAAAGTAAAGGGGTGGGCCCTCCCTGGTGGCGCAGCGGGTTAAAGCACAGCACTGAGAATCTAAAGCCACTTCCGCATGAGTCCGATTCCCCCCTGCCCTGGAGGTGACCACATGGTGTGGCAGACCTCTCCTGGCCCGCCCGCTGCTCCCCTCAGCAGTGTACTTCCTCCATCTGCTTGTTCTGTTCCCCACTCTGTCTCTGGTGAAGCCTCTCGCCGCCCCGGAGCCTCTGGCCTGTACCCCAGTTCTGTATGCACAAATAAATCTTTAAAAAAAAAAGGGGTGAACAAAAAGCAAATCAAAGAAATAGACAATTCATTAAAAAGGTAAAATATAGCTCCTAAATATAAGATAGATTATCCAATCTCATTCATAATGACCAATGCAAATTAAACTAAAATTAGATATGAAATAGTACAATTTACCAGGATAGAAACTGGCAGTATTTAACAAAACTGACATTTAACTTTTGACCTGCTTACTCACTTTAGAAAGTTACCCTTAAAACGATCCCAACAATGAGGTTCCTCAAAATACTAAACATGGAGCTTCCATATGATCCAGCAATCCCACTCTTAGGTATCTACCCAAAAGACACAAAAACACTGATTCAAAAAGACACCTGCACCCCCCATGTTTATTGCTGCTTTATTTACAACTGGAAAGACATGAAAATAGCTCAGATGCCCAAAAGTGGATGACTGGATTAAAAAGATGTGGTACATATACACAATGGAGTATTACTCGGCAACCAAAAAAATAAACACATGCAGCAACATGGATGGAGCTGGAAAAGATCGTGCTTAGTGAAAGAAAAGGAAAAATATCAGATGGTTTCACTCATAACAGGAATATAATGGACCAGGCGAGAAAATAATAGTGAGCAGCTATATACCAGAGACATTTTATGGGGGTGGATTAGGGAATGGGATCAAAAACAATAGGGGGAAGGAAATGCACTGGACTATGGTGATGGCACATGGGTGATTTGGTGATGGGAAGCCCACAGGGATTACAACTAAGATGGAAAAATACACAAAATGATGTAAAAATAAACTATTATATTATTCAAAAAAAAAACTTCCAACAATGTTAATACAAACATGTACAAGATTAAGAGTATTGATTGTAGAACTGTAATGACAGAATGCTGGAAAAAAATGATTATTCAAACCTAGGAAAGGCGGTTGAATAAACACTGGTACATACATGGCGTGCTATGCAGCTGTAAGAAAAAAGAAAAGAAACCTCAATGAACTAACATCAATCATTTCTAGGACACATTAATGTGAAAGAAGGGAAAATAAAATATATGTGATTCTTCCATTTGTGAAGAAAAATAAGAATAAATATAGGGGTACAGGATAAATGAGAAAGCATGAGGGAATGGAAACAGGATAAAATGAAGAGCGACACTTTTTAAAGATTTTTTTGGAATACATTTTGTCTGTTAGAATAACATTCATGTTTCACACAGTTGAATCCAATAAGTATAAGAAGAGAACCAAAAATGGGATAAAAGAGAGAAATGTGCCAAAATGGAATAAAAAATTAAATGTTTTATAAATGAATGAAACAACCACGGTGAAGGGGAAGTTGGGGAACAAACACCTAACTCTGGAAACAGAATTTTGATTATATAATCTAAGGTTAAAGACACAAACTATACAGTAGTTGACATGTTTGTTTTTCACACATGACAAGCTAGCAATTCCAAAATTATTTATGTGTATTCTAAGAAATTAGTAACTACAAACTTATGGATAAGAAGAATACAATTTTTCACTGTCAAAGAAGGGAATAAGAAAAGAAGAAATGATATAATGAACACCATGGTGTTGAACTGGATTTGGAAAAAATATTTCATGATTATTAATATATATACAAACAGAAAACAAAAATATGTGTGTATCTGTATACATAAATATATTTCCTAGCTCAATTCATTGAGAAGGTCTACAAATAATGACATCATAGCATCAGTAAGTACACCTAGAGCTAGATTCTTGTTTCCAAACTTGGTCCCTTAATGTAAAGTAGAGGACTGTGGACAAATGGTTGGTTTCAGGCCTCAGGCACATAAAGTACAAGACGAATCCAGAATACCTTGTAATGACAAAGTAAAGATGACCTAAAACAATACTGGGGTCATATAAGAAGGACATAGAAATCGACCTTAAAGAGCTTCCTATAGACAAATATGAGACAATTTGAGCAACAAAATGATAAAAAAGAAATGATCACATAGTATAAGAATCCTATCCTATGGTTGTGCAAAGGGTTAAGTCTCAGCATTATGAAGCTATCAGGAGCTCACCCACAGCGAACAGCAGACATCTCCTGCCTTGCCAGTTTACTGTTCCCAGCAGCAGTGTTATTTCATTCAGCTAATCTGCCTGTTCTCCCCATGCTATCGCTGGTGAGTCCTCAACCCTCCACCCCACCGGCTCCATACACACACAAATACCTCTGGCCTATAAATCTTTATTAAAAAAAAAAAAAAAAACATATGCCCATGCTAATGTAAATATTTAGAGGAAAGAGAAAGTTTTCCAGATGATTTCAACTAATAAATTTAGATGGGGGCCCTCCCTGGTGGCGCAAGCTGGCCACAGCCGATCCCTGCCCCAGAGGTGATTCACATGGCTCCATAGACCTCTCCTGACTAGCCTGCTGCTCCCCTCAGCAGTGTACTTTGTCGATCTGCCTGTTCTGCTCCCAGCTCTGTCTCCGGTCAATCTGTCTCTGGTTAATCACCACCCCTGCATCTTTGGTCTCTACTCCTGTTCTATATGTGTAAATAATTTTTTTTAAATGAGGAAATGTCTATTATTAATAAATAAATGTAGATGGGATGATGGAAATAGAACAACATTTGGCAAACTACTATACTAATTGTTTCAAACAAGAGTTATTAATGGATATTGAAATTAGTAGAACACTGTATGGTCAGACTATATACACAGTCTCAAAGTATCACCCTATAAGATAATTATCTACTTTAAAGAGGAAAATATCAGCTATTTTTATAGTGAGAAAATCTGGCAGATACTACCTTAACCAAGGGATCAAAGTTTAGTGATTAGTAAGGAACACATTCCATACCTCCAAATAGGAGTGGCCAAATGACTTACACTGTTGTTTTTGCTCAAAAATGCGTAACCTAAACTTAATCATAAAGAAATAAGAAACCCAAATTGAAGGATAATCTGCAAATTTACTGACCAGCACTTTCAAAAGTATTGATATATTCAGGATTAAAGGAGACTAAAGACAATGTGTAACCCTAGATTGGAACTCACTAGGACAATTAGTAAAATTCAAATAAAATCTATGGGTTTAAAACCAGTAATGTTTATCTGATTTCCTGATTACATTAATGCTAGTTTCTTAGTTTTGGTTGTCATAACAGCTATATAAAACACTAACATTTGAGTGTCTGGGTAAAGATTATATAGAATTCTCGGTACTTTTACAATGACTTGTCAGCTCTGAAATAATTTCAAAATGAAAAGTTTAAAATACAAATATGTATATATAACCTAATACTCTGAAGCTCCCTTCTGGCTGACTCTTCTGCCATCTGGGAAGCCCGCAACTTCTCTTCACACTGATCCTTTTCAGATTGCCTCCAGACGTCATTTTCCAATTTCATTTTCTCTAGCTCTGCTAATCTGGTCTCAAGTTCTAGCCTAAAAACAACAGATGATAATTATGTTTGGAGAACAATAAGGATATGACATCAAAATATTTCATCTGTAAGAAGAATTAGTACTATAGAAGGCAAGCACTTACTTTTCATCTTGTAATACCACAAGTTTTTGATAACCTTCTTCTTTGGCAGCTTGTACCTTACGTATTAATTCACGATCCTTTTCTACTAGAAGCACTTTGTGGTGTTCAACAGTTGACTTGAGAATCTCGTTGTCTGTCTGTAACCCTGGTATTTTATTTTTAAAGAGAAAAATCTGTTAACAGGAAAAAAAATCCCAACTGACAGCAAACATTCATAAATTAGTAAGACAAAAGAATGTAGAAAATAAGTCTCTGAAGATATGTATTCTCAAAGATAGATTGTTGATAAAATTCCCTTAAGAATAAAACACTAGAATTAAATTTTCTATCATTTTATTTACACAACCTTTAGTAAAAGGTTATAAACTTTTACTCATTGAATCTTGAAATCTGAGAGTATTAATGTGGATGACATCTAAAGACGTTTAAGTACTTAACCTCTTAGTGAATAAAATCATAGAATCCTTCCAAATCCATTGCTCCAGAATTAAGATTTTTAGTAAAACTATAAATTGGAAACTTTCAAGTTGGTTCATTGAATTCACAAATCTTCCTTATAATGAAATGACAATTATTTTGCAGATGTCAAACTAAAGCAAAATCATATCCTACTCAAATGTAAATAACGCAGAAATGGATCTCATCTTGACGTTCCTGAATACTCATTCTCTAATAACAGGAAAACCCATGAGTAAATTGGCATAAATTCAAGTAGAAATTAGCAAGTAAAAACATCAAATAGAAAAGTAGAAACATCGAGTAGACATTAACAATGCAAACAATAATTCTTCATGAACTTGGTCTATGAGGTCTTCCAGTTCACTACAGATCAATATGAATTACAAAGGAAACTTACTAAAATACTTCATAAATGTCAGAAATAACATTTCTGTGAAATGTTGTTGAGAAGACTATTCTAATCCTATCTAAAAGTTTTTTAAAAAGACCTGGCTGACCTAGGCTCCAATAACTAGTCTAGGGTCTATGTATAACATTTTTTAATTTAAAAATTGGGCCTGGAACCACCTATCTTTTCTATATTACTTTAGAGTTAAAATAGCCTGAGATTAAAAACCAAATGGTCTAAATAAATTTAAAATTATAAAACCAGAAAGTATAGAATCCCATTTTGAAAAGTTTCAATTTATGTACTAAATACGATATAAACTTCAGATTTTTAAATCAATTCATAGAACGGCCATTTATATATCAACAAAAACAATCTATATGTTTTATGATTAAAATTCAATTAAGCTGGAAATAAAAATTCAGTCTGATCTATTTTAATAATTTGAATTTATATCTAAAAAGCAGAGAAAATCATCTTACCATCCAGTTCACTTTGAATCTTATTTTTTTCTCTTTCTAGCTCACTCTTGGCTCTTGCTGCCTCCAGTTTGATGTCTGTTATTTCTAGTTTGTTTGAATGCTTCAGTTCTTTTACCTGTTAACAATTAGAAATTAAAATTAAAAAAAGAAATTTAAATTATATTAGTAATTTCCTTGCCATTAAGTGATTACCCACAACCATTAGCAAATATGAGTAATCATTTTGGCATCAGAGTATGGAGTGTAACCTCTTGCTCCCTAGAAGTTTATACTTCGAGCATATATTGACACAGTGCTGACAACAGTACTTAGCACCAACAGTATTTTCCAAATAGAAACGAGCCATTTCTTTACAAATATCTGAGTGAGATCATCAGATTTAATCTTGCCATGAAAGGTTTAATTGCAAGTACTTGAAATTCAATAGTCAATACTGAAAGATATTTAGGGAAAATAAATGAAGTCTTCCTTAGAAAACAATGAGTAATATATTATAGGTAAAAGAGAAAGCAGCACGAGATCTGCGGAATGACAGGGTAAATATGTCATATAAAAAGCTTATCTTTTTAGCTAATGAGATGGCACAATCAACTTTCAGACAGTTAACTGCAAATGTGATAGATTCAGAAAGTGACGGCAAATAAACCCAATCGGAGGCAAAAGATTAACAAAAAGGACAAAAAAGAAGAGTCGATTTATTTGGATTACTAATGTGCTTGGTTGGAAGAAGGTTTTAAAAAGTATTATTTAAACTTTTACTGCCAAATCTTAGCTCTTTTGAAATCCTGAATGAAAACAGACCTATTAAGACTTTCCATAGTTAGCCCATAACATACCAATTTTCACTCTTCTGAGATATTTTTTGAAAGTTGACTACTTCTAGTTCATACGCAGTACCCCTTCATTCATTCATTCATTATTTGTGGAGTCCCTATTTATGGGATAGCCATTGTTTCAGGAACTGAAGACACAGCAAATAAGGAAGCTTTGTCTCATCAGTCATCTGCACTACTCTACCATTTTCCTTCTCTTACCATTTTTCTTCTGTCTTCCTTTGGTAAGGTACTTCTAAAATTAGGTACAGTACTATAAAGAGAATTTGACCAATACAGATAGAAAGGCAAGATAAACCTGCATTCTGACGTATTAACATATAAAACTATATCAATAAAAAACAACTAATATATATACAAGTCAAATATGCAAAATGTGAGGTGATGGGAACAAGAGAATAAAGGATATTCGAGTCTAATAAAACCCTACAAAAACTGCAGTTAGGAATTAGAAACAAATCAGAAAGAGATCCTAGAGTCAAAGATGGCAAGGACAAAGAATAGAAATGTCTTAAATACTTACAAAAAAAGAGTCCATCTATGAAAGATCTTGAGAGTGTTGCAAGGAATGGTTGGTTTGGTGCAAAATCCTCACTTAAAGGAAACATAGAAAAGCAAACACTGTGTTTTGCTAACCACACTAAGATGAATTCCTCCAAACTAACTGTAGGTTTTTAAATGACACTGCATAAAAAGGATACCTTGTGCTTACACCATCTTTGCATTTTTAAAATATCCATTCTGAGGTTTCTTTCTATGAAAACAAATCTCATAAACAATGATTAACTACACAAAAGCTGCCAAGAGATTATATTTATTTTAATACTTAAATTTTCTGCAGGTTGGGCTTTATTACATTCTAATTTCATGAACTGAGAGAAATTAAACTCTAAATGCTTTCAAATTTTGAAGAAATAGAGATACAATGAAAACCCAATCTCTATGGCAAATATAACTATAACCTGCTATTTTATACTAACTGTAAAAGGTTAAAAATGACATAGGAGTTCATTAACAAACCACACTTTTAATATGAGCTACTTTTAATATGAGGTGGAAAATTGGAACCATCTTATTTCATGGAATGTTGATTCAACAAAAAGAACTACAAAACAAAAACCATTTCTCAACTCATTCTCCCCTGAGATTTACTTAAAAGAGAATATTTCTAACTAAATTATAACTGAAAGAAGTCAAGGAAAGGAGGTCCATCTTCAAATCAGCTTTTATCATTGAACCACTAGTATGTGCTCAAGCCATGTATGAACTTATCCTTTCTTAAATTTACTGGTCTGTGGAGCTAGAAGATCTTTTAAGTTTCACTTTAATGCCACACTGCTGCAATCATAAAATAACGAATGTACTTAACACTAACAGTTAACTTCCTAGAAAGGTTAAGAGGTATAATTAAAAATTAAAAATACAAAAATTTATCAACTAGATGTAACAAATAGCAGCACTTCTTGTGATAACTGGAACTTAATTTCAAACAGAATAAAGTCTCTTTCTGCCTCTTTATACTTGGTTCTTAATCTTTTTTTATCAGGCCTCAAAACTTTTTTAAGAAAACTGGGAGTCTTTTCCTAAGTAAAATGCACAATATTAAATTAGTATTGTATATTATTTGAAGACACAATATTTGGAAGCCCTGTGTGCCAAGGTAAGCCTTCTTTGTACTCTACATTCACAATATGTTTTCCATGTAGCCTTTACATTCAGAACTTGTTTTGTGCTTTTTGCACACAATAAAAGCAAGTATTCACAAATTACTACCTAGTCCTACCAACAACACTGTAACAGAAAAAGTGGCAATTGGAATTTCATAGTTTCATAGTCTATGAAATTACATACACAAATCTATAGACAAAGATACATAAGAATTTATATACATATAAGAACCTATAGTTGAAAAATGTATTAGGTAGAAGTTCCTGATGCAAATTCCAAAGAATACTTAAATGCTGACCTTTCTCAAAGATCCATGATGATATGACCTCATTAACTTAGGTAACAGGGTAACTGTAGGGTGGTAATCTTAAAATGTATGTTTTATTGGAATCTGAAGAGTAAATACCTCGTAAGGTAATTAGAAGAATTCATCTCATTAAATGTGAAATGTTTTTAAGGTTGTCATATTTAGCCCATCTTCAATAGAACTTTTTAATACAAAACACTGGTAGTCACACTACCATAATTTGATTCTAAAACTTAAACATTTCAAAAACTTGTGTAACTTACACAAGTACACCCCAGGTGTTCCTTTGCATTGCAAACACCATTTGCTAGAACTGCAAAATGTTGATGAAAATTTCAAGTTGCAAAGTAAACTGTGACAGTCAGCTTTGAAAGATTTTAAAATTTCCTTCCAATAAATCTTTTTACATGGAAGATTTCAAAGATAAACTTGAAGATTTTAATATTCCATTTATATGCAAAGTAACAAACAAGCAAAGAAATACTATGAAATTGCTTTCTTCAGCAGTGTAGGATAATTATCAATACACTAATTCCATGAAAGAAACAGCAACAGAGAAGAGTATGCACAGAAAAAGAAAAAAAAGTCAAGGTCAAGACACAATTGAGTCAGGGACAGGTAACATGTGCTGTAGATAAAGCATGTGGTGGTCACTAAGAGAGTTACAAGCCTCAAGAATAACCAGCTTAGGTATTGTTCTGTGCTCCACTATCATTCAGGTTATTCCTGCAGTCTAGTATGGGTACTCAGTTCCTGAAACATTTATGAAAATAAAGTACTGTGTTTGCTTTTTTCTTTAACAAAACTGAAAATAATTTACACCACAACAAGAATCCAAAGAATTCCTATTTACTTGAATTTAACTCTTTGTGTTCTGTATTTATTTCTTTGCATACTCTATCACTGTAGGCATTCATTTGTGTATGCTGAATCTCCTATAGTTAATCAAGAAGGAACCAAATTATTTTTTAGTAGGACTTGAAAAACCTAAGTAGGCTGTGAAGGCTCTTGTGGATCAGCTCATTCAGAAGAATGCCTCATTTCACCACTGAGGAAATTGGGTCCTGATTATCAAGTAACTTGCCTTCAATAGTGATTGAAACAGTAAGGAACAAAACTTGTCAAAGAACTCAAAATTCTCAATTCTTTGTTACACTGTGTCCCCATTTAAGGATATCACCAGAGTATAATCTTTGCCATTATCATTTTCATCACCAGTTACTATTTATTGTATTTAATAATATCTTTAATCTTTAAAAAAAATCATGATAGGCATTATCCTTATTTAAAAGTTAAGCAAATCAGAAACTCACAGCTGTGGAGTGAAATGAATATGTCAGGCTACAAAGATAAAGTCACCTGATTCAAAGTCCAAGAACTTTTCCATAGTATTATTTAGGACCTTTTCCAAAATGAGTTTTTAATACTAAAAACATCTTAATTTCAACCAATAAGCTAGAAGAATATATTTGAAATAACATTTTAATAATTAAAATTTGTTCAATTGTCTATTTTTCAATTATTTTTTCTAGGTTCTACCATTTCTAAATAGAAAGACAAATAATGCTGAATTAGTTTAATAAAACCCTGACTACAAAACTACACTGTAAACTGTATAGTAAAGAAAACAAAAAATTTATATGTCCCTAGATATAACATCTACAAACAAAATATGTGCTTGCTTTGGAAAAAACTGAGTATGCAAACTCCCAAACAAGCCATCTTTCAGATACCTAATGTAATGCTTTTGGCATTTCAGGCACAAAAATTCCAATTTTTCCTTATACTTAAAGAAGACTATCAAGGTTACATTCATATTGCAGATACTGAGGTTTATAAAATCAGAATACAACTTTATTAATTACGAGAAAAAACTACTAGGATATTTACATCTGAAGAACCAGTGCATCCTCACCTACAGTTAAAATTACAAGAAGATTTAAGTAACAGAAGTTGCTTGGTGATCACAGAATCAGAACAAATGGAGTGAGATAAACGGATCATCTCATGGCCACAAATTATAATAGATTGATGTATTCCTGCACACAGTAGAATAGTAGGAATGACCTTTTCAATGGGAGCATAACTGTCCAATTCTACTGACTAAAACTCTCTCTTCCCCTTGTTATAGTCACCGCTTGCCTCTTCTCAAGTAATTCCTTAGTCAAGGAGTTTATGATGAAGACATTATTCCTTAGATATATCCATGTAATTTTATCAAGCTAAAATAAATTCCCTCAGGTTGGAAGCCATTTTGTTTATCTAAGTCTAGTCTTGGTCTGATAGAAAACACAATGATTTCACCATCAGAAACCAGTCTTATTTCTAAACTTTTTTAGATGTCCCAGATATTAATATCTGAGTACATAAATGATTTTATTTTAAACCCTGTGTTAAATGTTTTATGTATAGCATCTCTTTTAATCATTGCCACACACTTCAAGATAGGTATCAGTCTCATTTTATACAAGAAAACACTTTGGTTTTCAGCAAGGAAGTAAATTACCTAAAGTTGTATAGTAAGACAAAAAATGGAATATGAATCCAGTATCTCTGACTCCAGTGCTGATACTCCTATTCACTATTTATTCCATAAATCGTTTTATCAGTGCAAGCCTACATTTCCAGTTACTGAAAGAAAAGCCCCTGTAAAGTTGTTAAGAAAAACAGCACATTAAACAAGTTCAAATCCTTACATTCTTCAATAACAACACAAATGCAGACCATGCTAACACCAATATACTCATTTAACAAACATTCAGAATATCTACTGCATGCCAGCATTATTGCAGGAATGGAAGATAAAACAGTAATGAAAGTAGTGTCCTTGTTTTCTTGGTTCTTATAATTGGTGAAAGGAAAGGGAGTAGGAAAGACAGACAAAAAATACACAACCATAAACATATCAGATGTGTTATGAGTTAAACAGAAAAATAAAACAGGTAAGGAAGATAAGAGATGAAGGCAGAGGATAAGGGGGCAGTGGTATTTTACAAAAGAACCAGGAGGAAAAGCCAGTGAATATATGAGGGAAGACTATGCCAGGCCAACAAGTTTTGTTTTAAAGATCCTTCGGTAGAACTGAACTTGCTCAAAGAAGAGTAAAAAGGCCAGTGAGGCTGAAGCAAAGTGAATAGGAGGGGAAATGAATTGTAATGGCAGTGGAAAGCATGCAGGGGCCAAATCAGAATGAGATTTAAATAGGTAAAAACAAAACAACCAGTGAGGCAGTCACTGTAAAATTGGAGCTTAAAGAGATTATGGCGTGGACTTAGAATGGTCACAGAAGTGCTAAGATATGGTCAGATTCTGCATGAATTTGGAAGGTAAAATGACAAGAGATTTCAATGTGGAAGCTTAAATCACTTAATGTAAAATTCTTTGCCATTTTCCAATGAAAAGCATTTTAAAGAATGAAGTAGAAACATAAGATGACTTACATTACTGGTCAGCGTATTTATTTCTTGTTCAGCTTTATGCAGTTTACTGATTAAAACGGTATTCTGTTCATTGCTTGATTGTAGCTCTTTTTCCATGTGTTCAGCCTGTAGTTTAGCTGACTGTTTTTCTGCCTTTTATAAAAAAAATTTAAATTTCTAAGTGATTTTTTACATTTATATCAAAATAAGCACTGCTTAAAATGTACATACTACTACCAAAGCCTCAAAAATGTTAACAAGTACTAAAGTAACAAGAGTTTTCTCAAAGTAACTGGTAGAATTCAAACCAAAGATACTGGGGTATCAGGAAAAACATGACACATTTTTCATTTTTTCAAAGATCATTTATTTATTTAAAGGACAAAGATCAATCGATAATATACTGCCCGTTTTGTTTGATAACCTTTTTCCATCTTTCAATGAGCTTCATCATCCCTTATTCATAGAAGGACCTGTCTTTAACAGCAAAAAACCGAGCCAGGTACTGTTGACAGACTCATCTGAACTGAACATTATCCCACGCACAGAGTTTTGAAGAGTGAAACAAGTGGAAGACTGATGGAGCACAGTGAAGTGAGTGTGGTGGATGTGGCAACACATCTGTCCAAGCTCCAATAATTTCTGATGGGTGATAAATTTGTATACAGTCTCGTGTTGTCTTGATGGAACATAACTCCTTTACAATTAAACGCTGGATGTTTCTGTATTATGGATTTGTTCAAACTGTCCAACTGCTGACAGCACACATTCAAATTAATTGTTTAGTTCCTTGGTAGGAGCTTGAAAAACACACCTTTAAAATCCCACTACCCTGAGAGCATAACCTTCCTCTGATAAATGCTTGCTTTCGATGTCCTTTGAGGCATTTGTGCAACACACTGTTGAAAACAATCCACTTAGCATCAGTTATCAGTCACTTCAATAAAGGATCGTTTTCTTCATGTTTAATGAGCATATGGAGATGTTTATACACACAGTCAAATGAACTTCTTTGAGGTCAAATATCGAATACTGAACCCAAATATCAAGATTGCTTATGTTTCCCAGCTTTTTCAGGCAGTCATAAATGCTTGAATTACAGATGTTCCAAGTTTTAGCAGTCTTCTGTATCTTATACCATGGGTTTGACTTGATCAATGCCTTTTATTTTATCATCATTTTACTCGATGGGGTTCTCTGACTGTGCAACATCATTGAGATCAAAATCACCAGCACAGACTTTTGTGAACCACTCTTGGCAGTGATGCTCTTTTATAGCATTCTAACCCTAAACTTTATGCAACTTTCATAAGCTTGATGCGCATTCTTCCTTTTAAGAAAGTAAAGCAGTAAAACAGGGTGAAAATGCAGAATTTGTTCTTCCAATTTCAACATGTTGTAGAATCTCCAAAACTCAATCAGATCCAATTTTTTTCTTAAACTGAAGCTAGATCTATCAACTGTCAAATAACTACCTATAACATAGATGCAAATTACTCTTACTTTCAAAAATGAGCTAGTGCCATCTGTTGCAAAAAGGTGTCACGGCTTTTCCAACAACCCAATATTTGTTCCAAGAAATATGCAACAAAGGTATTTGTTACATATCAACAGCCACCAGCAAAACAAAGATGCAGACACTTCTCTCAAATTAGTACCTAGTATGTTCACTTGATTTTTATTGCTGACACAATTTTAACAAACTTTTTTTCAGGTCAAGTTCATAGTAAAATACAAAAAAGTATGTTAGAAGACAGAAGAGAGGGCTGACTTATAGCAGTAAGAACGAGAACTGAAAATCCAGTATCAGTATTTTAAAAAGAGAGATTCAAAATCCTCAACCAGCCTGGATCCCTTAGAAGTATAAATAACGAGAACTAGATACCACTTGACTTCACAGTAATAAAATTGAGACTTAATGAAGTTTGTCAAGAAAATGTCTGGTTGTATTTTAACTTAGGAAAGAAAACTAAGTTTTTGTTTTGTTTTGTTTTGTTTTTATTTTTTTTATTATTTTTTATTTTTTTTAAAGATTTATTTATTTGTACATACAGAACTGGGGTACAGGCCAGAGGCTCAGGGGCGGTGAG